AGCCGCCTTAGCCTGTCCGCCTCCTTCGAGGCGCTCGCCATCTACTTCCCGTGCATGAACTCCTTCGACGATGAGGATGCAGGTGAGCGCGCCTCGGTCCACCCACCCCGGGAGGCTGTCCCGGGATACAGAAGCCAGGGACCCTCAGGGACCCGGGGCGCCCGGGAGAGGCGGCCACTCTCTCCACCGCACTCCCGGTCCCGCCCGGATAGACACCCAGGGGCCCTTTCACTCCCTCGGGACCCCAGGGGTCTAGGATAAGCTCTGGTCCTGCCCCTCCGCCCCAGGGACCCCTCTTGTCACCTGCACTCACCCTTCTCGCGCAGGTGGGCCCTTGGGTCGCCTGGACTCAACTCCCCCTATGTATGTGTACCTACAGGACTTCCCCGCGACCACCGTCTTGTTTCTCGACCCGACTTGCCACCACCTAAGTCTGGTTATATGGCCCCTGGTCAGATCTAAGGGTTTAGGCCGCCTCACCCTTGGGCTTCCGACGTGTCTTCCAGCCGTTGGAGGTTGTGCGCAGACCTTACCTCCCCGAGGTCTTTGTCTTAGCTGCATCCGGAGGCTTCCAGCCCAAGACCCCTGTCTAGAGGCCAAAGCCTTGAGTGCCCCTATTTGTGTCTCGTTCCCTTCCCCCACAGGCCGAGGCTCCAGACTCTAATCAGATTGGGGCGGGCCGCGCAGAACTGGCCCGGTGTCTGCTGGCCTTTCCTCTTTCCTCCCCAGGGAGGTTTGAGGCAGTTTAAGTGCTAACTACACCAGCGCACCCTCCAGTGTGTGCCCCTGACTCCGGTGTTCTTGTCCCTGGAGTGGCCTTTCTGGATGGGCTGAACCCAGCTGCCATCCCTCAACTCAAGCCTTCTGCTTCTGGGCCTGAAAAAAACAAAACAAAACAAAACAACAAAACAAAACAAAACAAAAAAATCCCCAAAGGTAGCCACAGTCCAGGGGTGGGGGAGGAAACCAGCTCTCAGATCCTGGGGCCAGGCAGAGGGTACAGAGAGCTATGAGTTTGGTTTGGGGGTAAAGAAGGGAATCCAACAACAGGTGGGGTACCTAGAAGATTTGGGTGAGAGGTCCCCCAAAGGGTTCCAGGATTAGGAGTTGGAATCGGATTCCTGTCTTTATTCCTCTATTCCATAAGCTGTGACCTTGGACAAGTCATGCTATCCCAAGTCTCAGTTTCCTCATCTGTAAAATGCAGATGATGCTGCCTCACACACAAGGCTCCCGTGTGGTGGGAGGGTGGAATGAAATGGTTTTTGAACTGATAATTTGAGAGTATTTGAAGTCAATGAGGGGCGGGGAAGAGGAGTGTGTATGTGTGAAAGAACGAGTGGGTTCAATACTGATTAAAATACGAATTATCTCTCAAAAGGAAAAAAAAAAGCAGATATGGACTGCCCCAAAAATTTCCTGCATAGTTTAAGGAATTCAAGAGCTCAGGTTTCAACTCCCTGCTGGCTGGAGCTTTCTGTGTCGGGAATGTTATGAGATGGAGTGGTGGGTACCAGTGAGAGATGAGAAAAGCAGAGTTCCCCAGAGTGAATGGTAATAGTTGAGGCCCACACCTGATAGAATTTTCTACTGACCTGGAGGCAGGAGTTGGGGGTGAAGATGATTGTTACACATCCAGTCTATGTACACACCATCTCACACATCAAATAAGCGAGGCCCAGGAGCTCAGCTTCTCTCCTCATTGCTGAGGAGTGTTGTATTATTCTAGGCAAGACCAGGTGAGGTAGGATTGGGGCGGGGGGAGGGGTCCCTAATGTTGTTACCTCTACTGCACCTAACTCAGAGAGAGAAGACATCAGGCTAGCTGTAGAGGTGAGGGGGGAGTCTTGGGGCATCTGTGGAGAGAGAGCCGGCTTCCAGGCCTGAACTGAACTGATGTTCAGTTCTTCAGTTCAGCAGGCCTCTTGCCTGTGTCCTCGAGAGTCACGCTGGGCAGGAGCACAGGTGGGTTTGGCTTTTCTCCAAAGTCATGCTGCATGTTGTGGGTCACATACCTTGGTCTTATGGCAGGGCTCACTCTAGGTTTCACTCTAGTCAAAGATAGATTCTTGAGAATATTAACAGTATAGTGAGTTTCTTTAAATTCTTGTGTTTTGCTTGTAAGAGACCCTCTTCAGTCCTCCTAGGCCCTAAATGCAAGGGGGTGGGGGTTGTGTATCTGTGAGAATGTGTATGAATGACTGGAGCCCTGGTGTGTGATGTGGTGTGTGTGTGTGTGTGTGTGTGTGTGTGTGTGTGTGTGTGTGTGTGTGTGTAACCCAAGGTCATCTGGTGTCTTGTGCACAAAGCTGAGAGCAGAACCAGGTTTCCGGCTCTCTTCAGAACACCAGTAGCTTCTCTTTCTGGAGGAGGATTTTTTAAAAAAGCCAGATCTCAGTGCAGAAAATGGTTCCCAGGTGAGGAGGCCTTGGGGAGCAGTTTGGGCATCTCAGGCTCACCTCCTGCTCATCCCCCAAGGCTGTCTCGAGCTTGGGAGGGAAGAAGAGAAAGTCTGGTGAGAGATGGAAGTAAGAACCATTGTCCTGATGCTTAATTTCTCTTGATCGTCTCATTCATTCATTTTCTCCTAGAAGAAGAAAATTGGGTTTATTTCCTTTAAAACAGCACTGAGCTGAACTAATTCTTAAAGGCAGTCAGAATAGGTTCTGGGGTCCTGGACAGGGGATTGGCTTAGCCAGAGGAGGCCATCACAGACTTGGCTCCTCCTGACTTCCTCCCCTCTCCCACTGGCCCCTTTTATTGCCTCTCTGTCCTTGGAGGCTCCATTTCTGAAGTGTGTCCCTGACAGGCTTCAGGCTCATCTGGGAGCCTCCCCCTGTTGCAATTCCTAACCCATGTCGATATATCTTTTCCCATCCATTAGATTAGGCAGAGCCGTCTTCAAGGCTCTCCTGCTGTCTCCAGCTAGTTTCCTGAGTCATAGGCTGAGGAGGAGACTTCCATTGGCTTTAAGTGGGGCAGAGCACATCCCTGCCTTGGACTTAAGAGTGTTGGGCAGTGGGCTAGGAAGAAGCTGCCTTCTCTTCCTGCGTCTCCCTAGCACCCTTGAGCCCAAGAAAAGGATCACTGCAGGTTGCTACGATGCCCATCAAGAGGAGGAATCTTCCCCATGTGTTCTGATGCATCTCTTTATGATTCGATGCTGCTGCCTTGCCTTGTTCCAAGGACGCTGGGGCCTTAGAGAGGCAGCACTCAGGGACACTTGGGTATTTGTGCCCATGTCTTTGTTGCTCAGCCTTATTGGCCATGGATTTGCAACTAGGGTGGGGAGGAGCCAGACATGTGACCCTGTTCTCCTCACCTACGTGAGGAACAGAATAATAGTGCTCCCAGTAGACTCCGTTGGGTCAGTGTTTTAAAAATTATTACCATGTGCTGTGTGACTTTCCAGGCATTTAATGTGCATTATTTTAACCTTTCCTTATAACATCCTCATAAAAATTAATATCTTGTATAACATCCCCATTTTCAGATTAGAAAACTGAGGTCTAGGCAGAGTAACTAGTTCAAGGTCATTTAGCCAGGAAGTGAGGGGGTTAGGGTTTAAATCTGGGGAAAATAGTTCAAGCATACTTGCTTTTAGGTATGCTGCTAATACCCCAATGAATGGTACCCGGCATGAAGTGGGTGTCAATACATGTTAGTTCCGGTCTGTCTCATTAACAAGTGAGAGTTATCTCTGAACATGGCCATAAAGATTCCTGCGCGTTTGGGCAAAGACAATCCCGAGTCTCAAGATGTTAGCTATCACCCTTTTAATAGGTTAATTTTACTGTAGTTTACAGAGGCAGAGCTGGGCCCACCTTCTTTGAAGTGCCTTAAAGGTGGGTATTTCAGGGGGTTTGTAAGCCAAACGAAGGTGGGAAGCATTCTGGCTTACTGTTTCCCTCCTCTTTCTAATGAGTTTATTTGTAGCACACCCACAGGCGGGTTCCTTGGGGTGTAGTTGGGGAGCTGGGATGTATCCCCTTTCTAGTAGATACCAAAAGAAGTTGTTACATCAGGGTCTGGACCTGAGGCTAGTGTTCCTGAGCCTGACCAAGTGATTTGTCGTCTAGTTCTCCCCCGCCCGCCCAGGAGAAGGGCGGAGAAGCTGGAGGAGCCAGCTCTGATTTGCCCATAGGATGGATGCTTCGATCCAGCTCAGGGAGGAAGTTACCATGGCAACACCAGCCGGCTACCAGTCCCTCTCCTCGCAGTTAAGGCCACATCTCTGGGCTGGAAAGCCCTTCATGGCACCTCCCTCTTCCGCTTAGACCAAATCTTTTTGAGGGGAGCATGGTGGGTGGGATCCACAAACTAGTGCCACAGCCTGCATCCCCACCCCCGGTTTTGAACAGAGGGAAATGGAGGTGGTTGCTTGAGTTACTCTGAGGTTGTGAAGCTACCCATTTCCTGCCAGACAGATCTTGGCAGGGGGAGTCAGGGTTCCAGTTCCTGCCAGCACCCCCAGGCACCTGGAATGACCACATTGAAATCTCACCCTCCCTCCCAAATTTATAGGATTTGGCAGAGTTTTCTTTCCCAGGCCAAGTGCTAACTTTTGTCCTTGAAATTTGACCCGAGCTTCATCTGGGAAACAAAATGTCCTGCTTCCCTGCTCCTTCCCCTAGAAATGGTGGGAACAGAGTGAGTCCTTCAGCTCCAGAAGGGGGGCTGGGCTGTGTGCATGATACAGGGAGGCTCCAGTATATCATATCTTCGTGAGGAGGGTGCCTTAAAGCAAGAGTCTAGGCTCTGGAGCCTCCTCTCCCTCCCTTGCCCCAGGGGAGGCCACATCCTGTATCCCGTTTCTTTTCTGTCTTCTATTACCCATACCCCCAGTTTACCACCTAGAGCTGAAATCTCCTTGTTTGTTTTTGAGAAAAGTAGCCCTGGCTGGCCAGGCATTCACTATGGAGCTTAGGCTTTCGTCAAATATGTGGTCTTCCTGCCTCAGCTTCCTGGGCACTTGGATTACAGGGCTGCACCACCACAGCCAGCTTCATAATCTCCTGTAAATTTGGGAGCTGGGCAGAATTCTTCTAGATTTGAAAAACTGAAGCCTGGTAGTGTATCAAG